TCTCTCTCTCTCTCTCTCTCTCTCCCCCCCTCTCTCTCTGTGTGTGTTTGTGTGTTTGTGTGTTTGTGAGTGTATGTTTATATTTTATCATTTCTTAAGAGTATACCAGACATATAGAAACTAACATTTAGACTTTACTGTCAACATCGAAAGAAACTATCATAAAAATACACTTCATAATTTGATTTAATACATAAATAAATGAACCAATCAAAATACAAATCCCCTCAGCAAACCCACTGCTTTGACACCGACCAACAGGAGTTCTCACTTTGGAGAGATGGTAGCAGCGGTGGACCGCCACAACTGTCACCGCCAGCAGCATCAGCCACAGGGAACATCTGAGGTGTTGTCGTAGTCGTAGGGGCAGGGGGGAGCTCAGGCTGGTCAGATATCTGGGTGGATGAGGAGAGTTGAGGAAAGAATTCTAATGTACAATCATGACAGTTTATAGGTTATTGTGGGGGTTTACTTGGTCGCTTGGAAGGACACGCGGGCTAGCCCAGACTTCGGGGGTTTCCAGAAATCTTGACCTACACCAAAAGTGGGCATTGCCCTACCTATAGGAGAAGTTTTGTTTCATTGGTGTGTGTATTTGTTTGGGTTATAGAGAAAACTCTCCTTGTCTTTTGAAGAAACTGAACAAGTGGCAAAAACTTTACTTGCGATTTTCTCAAAACAGCATTTTTCGAGATAGTTGGCTTGTGCTTAAAAGAGGCCATTTTCACGAATTTTTCGGAAAGTTTGGTGCGTTTTGTAGAAAAGACATGTCGTAATCTATTTTTAGTGAATCTCCTTTCTTGCAATGTTTATTTTAAAGTGTACAAAAATGTTATGATACATGTATATTAAAGAAATGAGATCAGAAGATTGCCCTGGATGCTGCTATAAGGGCCAGCACACATGATCAAACAGAACAACACACCACACGGCACACATTGTGAGACACAGCTTACTTCATGACACCATCCACGTACTGGCGAGCGTTGTGTGTGTGATTGGGAGGAACCTCTTGACTCACTCTCCGTCCTGTTTGTGTTTTGTTTTGCTCCGGCCCAGGTGTGTGTAATATACAGTTTTCACGAGAGTCGTCTGCCCACAACACTGCTGCCCAGTTTACTTGAGACTCCGGACGGAGAGGTGAGGTGTGTAACCGCGGTATTCTGATAGGGTCATAACTGTCAAGCGACGTGCACAATCGATGGATACGATGTTGAGCCGAGAAAGTCTTATACGGGGTGCCCCCTGCATCTACGGATGGGATCGGATGATCGGGCCGAACGCCCGACAAGGTCGCCTCAGAAACAATAGACGTGTTTGTTTTCAGTTTCAGTAATACCGGGTGCCCACTACGGCTGGATCGGGCCGATCGCCTGAAACTGAAAACAAACACGTTTGTTTTTGAGGCGATCGAGTCGGGCGATCGGTCGGACGATCGGGCCGATCCAGCCGTAGTGGGCACCCCGTGTGACCGTACCTGGTGTACGCTCGTGTTGTGCGGGCCGCTGTTGTGTGTGATTTAAAAAATTAATGTTGATCTGTTAAAACCAATAGATACAAGTCACACACACACACTCACACACACAAACACACACACACATACACACACACACACACACAGAAACACACACACAAACACACACACA